AAAAACGCTGCTACTAAGTACTTTAGCAGTAGCGCGTCCCCCGGAAGGTCGCTACTACTATATCTAGCCTGGAGGCAACACCGTGGCAAATATAGTAGTAGCGCTTCTTCCGCATAGAGCGCTACTACTACTTAGATATTAGTAGCGCTACTCTCTGGAGCTCGCTACTGCTAATTAGCAGTAGCGTCTATTTTTAAACCACGTTGCTGCTAAGATTCCGTGTATAGGGTTTTCCCTAGTAGTGTGTTTAGATCAAGAGATTCCATTCCTATCACTTGAACCTTGATTTCTAGCCTTCCCCAAGTTGCTTTTCACTCAAATCATCTTTCCACCATAGCCAAGTCTGTGAGAGAGAGAGAGAGAGAGTTGAGTGTTGGGAAGACTATCATTTGAAGCACAAGAGCAAGGAGTTCATCATCAACACACCATCCATTACCTTTTGGAGAGTGGTGTCTCCTAGATTGGTTATGTGTCACTTGGGAGCCTCCGACATGTTGTGAAGTTGAACCAAGAAGTTTGTAAGGGAAAGGATATCGTCTACTTCGTGAAGATCTACTAGAGTGAGGCAAGTCCTTCGTGGGCGATGTCCATGGTGGGATAGACAAGGTTGCTTCTTCGTGGATCCTTCGTGGGTGGAGCCCTTCATAGACTCGCGCAGCCGTTACCCTTCATGGGTTGAATTCTCCATCAACCTGGATGTACGATAGCACCACCTATTGGAACCACACAAAAAATTATTCATGTCTCCTTTGTGTTTGCACACTCCAATCCCATTCCTTTGTTGTCTTGCAAATTGCATGCTTTACTTTTTCTGTTGCATATACTCTTGTGATGCTTGCTTAAAATGTATTGTGAGTGCTTTAACATGTGTTAAACTCACCCTTAACTTGAATAAATTAAAAACTGCCACTTTTGCTTGTTAAGGGTCTAATCACCCCCCCCCCCTCTAGACCCCTCTTCTCGATCCTTTTAAAGACTTCTCACATGTCCTCAAGAACAAATAGAACTATTCAGAAAGCATAATTGTGCTTATGGTCAGAGGATATAAATATGTGTTTAACAATCTAAATGTATGAATCTTCCACCAAGTAAACCAACTAACATGAACTACAAGATGTAATTAACACTACTAGCACCCCGAGGTACCAATCTGAGGTTGGATATAAAAGTTGAGCAAAGAGATGAACTAGGGTTTTGAGATGAGATGGTGCTGGTGAAGATATTGATGAAGATGAGTCCTTCCATGATGAGAGAAGCGTTGGTGACGATGATGGCTTTGATTTCTCCCTCCCGGAGGGAAGTTTCCCAAGCGAATCGCCCCTTCGGAGAGCAAAAGTGCTCCTGCTCAGGTTCCGCCTCAAAATGGAGGCGACTGCCTATATCTCTCGGAGGGAGGTTTTCTCAAAAGTCTTCTTTTAATTTATTTTTTCTAGGGAAAATGGCTTCATATAGGAGAAGATGAGCAACAGTTGACCTCTGTGGGCCCCAAAGTCTGGGTGACGCGCCCCTAGGCTTGTGGGCCCATCGAGGCTCCTCTCAGGTGTTTTTCTTGCCAGTATTTTTATATATTCAAAAATAAATCTCCGTAAATTTTCACGTCATTCTGAGTTCCATAAAATTTCTATCTCTGTAGTAGCTTTTCCATGTCAGAATTCCAGTCGTCGGTAATCCCTCTTCTTTTGATGTATCTTGCATTTTGAGAGACAAAAGGCATTAGAATTGCATCATAATATGGAATATAACTTTAAAACAATATAAGTAACAGGGGAAATAAGTTCGCTGCAGGGCGGGACGGTCTAGGGCTCTGCCTAAGGGCTCACTCTCACTAGTGAGGCTGCGTTGCTAGGGATAGTCTTCTACTCCGCCTTGTTCCCTATCTAAATTTGGCGCTCGTGCCACTCCCTAGCTTAAACTATCTTTTGAACTATGTTATTTCTGGCTCAGCTACTCTAGCTCAGCTTGAGCGCTGTTGAACAAATGTGCTCGTCCATTTTGCCTCCTTTAATAAAATAATTAGGGTGGCGCTTTTCGTGAAAAAGGACCAGGACATGGACAGTCCGGCCCAAAAGGCCGACATCCGGGCCAGGCTCAGGCTCCGCTTTTCTACCCGAAGCCCGCCCCGAAAGCCGAAAGATAAGCCCGGGGTCTGGCTTTGTAAAGCCTGGCCTGACCTAAGCCCGGCCCGGAGAATGTCGAAATCACTAGTTGAGGAGTACTCGCTGCCAAGATCACTCCAACTCCCCTAGTTGCGACAAGTGGCGCACATGCAGCACGCCACTTGTCGCAACCAGGGAGTTTTCCCTTTTTTCTAGATTCGTTTATTCAAAATGTTTTATCTCTCAAACCATGCGTCCAAATCTCGAACCGCTTTCACCGTTGGATTCCTCGCGTCGAGATCTTCAAAACTACATTCCTCGCGTCGAGATCTTCAAAACGTTTTATCTCTCAAACTCACCCTTACGAACTTTTTTTCCACGAAAAAAACCGGACAAAAGAACCGAATCGGGAGCACGGGTTTTTCCCTTTTCGAAAGAGGCCCGCCCGTGACTCTCGCGAAATCACAATTGTGCCTCTCACGGAAGCAAAACCGTGACTCTCGCGGAAGAAAAAAAAAGAGAACGCGTTTTTTTATCCATTTCTGAGGAGGCACGGCCGTGACTCTCGCGAAATCACAACTGTGCCTCTCACGGAAGCAAAATCGTGATTTTCGCGGAAAAAAAACTCAGAAAACATGTTTATTTTCATTTCCAAGAGGCACGGCTGTGACTCTCGCGAAAGCACGACCGTGCCTCTCGCGGTAGTAAAACCGTGACTCTCGCGAAAGGAAAAAAATAGAAAGCGTGTTTTTTTCGTTTTCGAGACGCACGGCCGTGACTCTCACAAAAGCACACCCCTGCCTCTCGCGGAAGGAAAACCATAACTCTCGCAAAAAGAAAAAAACAGAAAACATGTTTTTTTTCATTTCTGAGAGGCACGGCCGTGACTCTGGCGAAAGCACAGCCGTGCCTCTCGCGGAAGCAAAACCGTGACTCTCGCGAAAGAAAAAAACGCGTTTTTTACGCAAAAAAAATTATCGAAAAGCTAAAGAAGACAGGTGAAAAACCAAAACGTCGAAAAAAATCATTTCAAAAGCCGAAAACGCGTGCGAAAAAATAAAAAAACCGAAGGGAGCGTCCAGAGCGCGACGCGTCGCGAATGGATGAGAGCGTGCCAAGTCGTTGCGAGGCTCCCGAAGGCTCGAAGCCCGCCCTAAAAGCCGAATGATAAGCCCGAGGTCTTTCTGTGCAAAGCCTGGCCCGACCTAAGCCCGGCCCGGAGAATATCCATGTTTCGTTATAAGGGCAAAAAAAGCTCCGTGTTGCCAGAAAAAAATGGCCAAGGTTTGCTCCAATCCTGGTCCAGCACTGGCCACAGCAAGTCCACAGTTAAATCATTGCGTGCTGCCTTAGTATTCGCGAGGATCTTGGCGGGCATTGCCGCCTTTCGATGAATGCATAGATTCTGAGGCACACGATGGGGTGCGCCGACTGCTCTTGCCATTCCACCCGGCGCAGCGCCCGGGCCCAAATGATCAAAGCTGGATGTCGATGCACGGCGGAAGCAGGGAAGGCAGGAGCCGTATGTGTCGCAGCCGGCCGAGCACTGCCGGGCCGGTGGGGGTCCGATGCGTCGACCATTCCGATCCTAGCTTGCACCCGCTTTGGTTGCCTGCAAAGGGACCAGTGAGCGAGTAGTTACTAGGGTGGTCATAGGACCACCGCTGCCCGGCCTTGTTGGCCCGGCTGCTGCGACGTTCGTAGCAAGCACCACCATGGCAGCAAGCATGGGCCGGCCCCTGACACCTCCCCAGCATGGCCACATAGATGCTTGCTGGCTTCCCTCAAAAAAAAAGATGCTTGCTGGCTACGCACGCACGTACTTAACGTAAGCAGCCGCTGTAAGTACGTGTACGTACGTACGTAGTAGAAGCAAACCATACAAACTTTCTAGCTGCATCTCTCTGCTGGCGACTGAAGCCATGAAGCGTCGTGTAGGATAGGATCGGATGCTGCTGTACTGATTGTGTAGGCGAAGCGTAGTGATTCGGTAGCTAGACGGGCTGCAGGGGTTCCAGCTCCCAAGTACGCTGCGGCCGGCGGTCCAAGGGAAGGGAGCGGGCAGCGGAGGTGAAGGGGATTTTTACGTGCAACACACAGGGACGCAGACACGGAGGTGTCGTCTTGGGAGTAAATTATTCAGTGCGTCAGCAAGCAAGCACACTTGGGCCTCGCTCGCCTCGGGACGGGAGGCCGCAGCCACAGCCGCAGGCTCCCTCAAAAAGATTGCAACGGTTTTTCTTTCTTTGGCTCCTAGATTCCTCTTCTTCCGCTGCTGCAAGTTTTACCACGACCAGGCAGCGGTAAAAACCTGCCTACCAAGGTTGCTACGTGGAGTAGTAAAAATCTGCCAAGGAGTATGTGAAAACTCTCTAGCTGAAATGTTATCACTGGTTTTGACGTACTAGTTATTTTCCCAAATGGAGCTGAGAATCCTTTGCCGGCAACGTTCTGGGTGATTTCCAGCAGTAAAGAAAGAAAACGGTCGACGAAAAGCAGCTGCTACTAGTTGCCCAAATGTTAAGATTCGTAGGAGCATCTCTTCGCACTCCGATGAATCACGCCCGCATATCGAGGAGTCAAACGAGGGGGAGCGCACAGTAGACACTTCAGGAATCCAATAGCCTCCTCCAATTTCGACGATCAACAATTCTTCCTCTTACTAGTAGTATCAGATAGATGCTCACATGACATCAGATTAATAACAATACAACAAAATGCGCGGCGCAGCGACACTGCGTCGCTCTAATCTTACTAACAACCAAGGGCAAGAAAAAATTAGAAAGAAAATCTAGTCTTTACACAGGAGGTTCGTCCTTGGGCTAACGAGAGAGGGAGCTTGTCTGCCTGCTACTCCTCGATGGATCGATCGACCTTCGCACGCGGCGGGCGGCGCGGCGTGGCTCAGGCGTAGTCGCGCCAGCAGACGAGCATGGTGACGCAGCGGCGCATGATGTAGAACCGCGCGCGCTGCTCCTTGACGAGCCGCGCGCACCGCCCGGGGAAGGACGGCCGCCGGCCCTTGCCGCCGCCGCCGCCGTCCGCGCGCACGCCCATCGCCGCCCCCTTCCCGCCGCCCCTCTTCTTGGGCAGCGTCTGCTTCTCCTCGGCGCCGCAGACCTCCATCAGCACCGGCTCTTCCCGCGAGTCCTCCCTCGAGCCGCGAATCTGTCCGAAGGGAGAGCTAGCTCACTTGGACGAAGAAGAGAGGAGAATGGAGGAGAGTGAGACAGTGAGCTCTGAGCTGATGGGGGAGTGAGGTGGGAAACTCTAGCTAGCTCTTGGCCGGGAAGAGCATAAACCTGTGATTATATAATGGAGCAGGGTGGTAGCCGGTGGGGCCGCGCATGACGACCCCAGAAGGACCTACTTGATGTTTTTTCTACGTGTATGCAGGGTTTTCGCTGTTGAGACAAAGCTCACTTCTAATCTCCTACTCATATCGTTGCTTTTTATCTTGTTCTCGGGCGCCCTCGTGCAACACCGCAAAGCCAAAGCGGCGTGGCTGTCAGGGATGGGGCCAGATTTGATGCTTTTTTATGCAGTGTAGTTCCCCTTTCCCTTTTCTCTACTAGCAAACAGTGCTTGGACTTGGAGTGACAGCGAAGTAGTTGAGAAATGGCCAAGGTCAGTGCCAGTTAATACGCTCAGCCGTAGCGTTAGACTCGGTTCCATTATAGTAACATTTTATTGACAAGCTAATAAAATCCATGCACAGAACCATCCAATCAGAGTTATGATGGAACAGTGGCAACCGCAGCAGGAAACCATCAGTAAATTTGACCATTGCACACACGAGTAAGCACACCGTGTGAGGATGAAAAGTGAACAGCGGCCGTGACGAACATTCAACCCTCGAGTGAGTCTCCAACTCTCCATGCACAAGGCAACAGTGGTGAGCCATCGCTAAATTTGACCATTGCGCGCAATGGCACGAGCACACGCCGTGTGAGGACTGAGGAAGAGCGGTGAACAGTGGGTGCGATGAGCATTCAAACCTAGAGAGGGTCTCCAGACACAAAGTAGCCATCCCCACCCAGGACGCAAACCCACAGGCGCACGGGCAGGGCTTGCAGATGATGTGGGAGCTGGCAAGCTGGGCCGTGCGCCGGGTCAAAAGCTCGAGCTGCCCGAGAACTTTGGCTCGAAATGGCTAAAAGCACGTAGGCCCGCCAGGCCCCAGTGTGGTATCCCTCGATCACTCCGCTCCTACGTACTCCTACGTAGAGCAGTAGATCGGCGGGAGACGGTGGGCCGATGGGTGAACACGGCACGTCGACGGAGCTAGCAATGCCACTTGAGCTAGCATAGATAGATAGAGCTGGTACGCGTACGGAGGAAACGGGCGGGGCACGGTGGGGCGGGCAAGTAGTCGGGGGGTTCTGCCGGGCGGGTTGCGGTGGCAACGTGTGTACGTGAGGGGTCAGCAGCGGCGCCAGCTTTAGACTGTAGCTACCGGGGCGGAGCAGGCTGAGGCTGGCGCGCGCGGCGGTGGACCGGGGCGGGAGGGGAGGGGGGCTCAGCCGCTCAGGGGCTCAGGGCTCAGCTACAGGCGGAGGCAGTCCCTCTCGCCCGTCCTCCGCCTCGGGAAGGTGGCAACGGACGGGCGGTCGGCCACCCTGGCTGGCCACAGCCCAGCGCATCACCGCTCGCTGCCCGGCCAGATCCCAGACGACGGGGCCTGCCTTCCTCCCTCGCTCGGCCACGCCATGCACTGTGCCTGCATGGCCCGGTCAAATACAACAGCGTACCACTGCCTGATGCGGCCCGGCCAGCGGCGACTGCCGGCACGGCGCGCTGCGAAACCATCCTCATCGGAGACGGATCGTTCTCGGCGTCGCCCGCCTGGCCTGCCGCATGTGCATCCACGGACGGACCCCGATCGGCTTCTTCGGTATCTGCTTTCGCCTGTCCCGGCCAAACTGCGACTCCACGTCGCTGCGCCAGTGCTAGTCCCATCAACGGTCATTCCAAGGAAAGGAGACGAGAGCTGGGTGCGTGACTCGACATGGCACTGTCCGCCATGTGAGTTTGGGCTAAGCTAGCGAGCTATACGAGTAGCCCCCGGTCGCCCTGGCCGTTTCTTCCGTCAGCACCGTCGCCGAAGAACACAATGATTAGGCCAACTTCACCGCGCGACCCTATCCGTCCGACCCCTTTCGTTTGGCTAAAAAGGGAAAAAGAAATGGTTCAGCGCGCGAGAGCAAACGGACTTTTATCCGCTTTGTGTCCGCTTTCGACCCATCCCCGGCCTAAATAGCGCCGGTTTTGGGGTGAAACGGACAGCGCGCGGACGAGCGGGACGCGCGCGCTTGTCCTC